CATTTGGTATTAGTCTAAGTACAGACATACACATAAATGAAAGAGGAGTGACTTTAGAAATAAATATAGGCAAATATGATTAATTTACTTTTAACTAGGTTCTCATGGTGATTAAATGGAAAAGAGTAGTCCTTTTTAATAAACAATGCTCAGATATTTGGACATTCAAAAAGGGAATAAAAGCCTTGACCTAAAAGCTGCCTTATGTTCAAACAGAGTTTTGACTAAATTTGATTTCATCAAAAGTATATCTGTTCTTCAAGCTTTAATAACAAACTTGTACACAATAATTTACTGGGGAAATACTACAAATACTCATTTAACACAGGCCTTGGATCTTATATATATGAAGAATTCCTACAATTTAAAGACAAGGAAACAGCTCAAATAGAAAACAGATCAATGTTTTGAATAGACATTACTAAGGGAGAAATATGGGACCTAAGAAACACATGAAAACATACTGTGTAATTGCACAAATGCAAATTAAATCCATGATTGGGCACCACTACATGTCAAATAGAATAATAAGCAGGATAACAATTATATAATAATCTTCAGTGCTGTTGAGCTTCTGGAACAACTAGAACTTTTCATTGCTCTTGGGAATGCTCAGTCTTACGGCCACTTTGGAAGACAGTTTGTCAGTTTTTGATAATATTAAATAGGCCATTATTGTATAAGCCTGCAAGAAAAACCTTAGCTTTTTTGTCTAAGAGTATTGAAAACATACCTGCATAGAAAAATGGATGCATTCTGAGACCATAAGCTGAGTGAAATATATCAAACACATATTGAACATCATATGGTTTCTCTTATAGGAGAAAATCCAAACTTAAATATTTAAAGAACGAAATAAAAGAGATGATAGCAAACAGGGAGGTAGACTTTCTGGAGATGGGCAGGGACTTGGAGGTGTGAAGAGAGGGAAGGGGAAGTAAAAAGATCAAAGTGCAACATGTCTATGTACCAGTGCCCCAAGGTGAATGTGATTCTTAAGTGTCACAAACGTATATCAATATGAAAAATATCTGCATGTGAATGTCCAGCAATTTTGCCTACAATAATCTAGAAACGGCGATCATCTAAATGTTCATTGTTTGGTAAGTAAATAATCAAATTCTATGATATAAACAATATCATTTAGCAATAAACTGAATGAATTTTTGAAATGTGAAAGAAAACTGATGAATCTTAAAAGCCTCATACTATATGAAGGAAAGTTATATAATACATATGGTAATCCATTCACTATGCAGTGGCAGGGACCAAAATTCAGATATGGGTGGGAGACTGACACAAAGGAGAGCTTTCAGCAATAATGGAAGTATTCTACGTCGGCTGGTGGTTATATAATTATGCAAGTCATTCAAAACTCATTGAATTATACATTTAAAATACATTTGAATTTCATTATATCTCAGCAGAGCTGACTGGAAAAAGTGGACAGAGAAGTACACATATGAGAAACAAAGCTGTAAAATGCAAAGCGCCACACCTAACTCTATAAAAATAAATTTAAGAACAATGAATGCATAGAAAAACATGTAAAAGATAAAAGAAGAAATGTAAATGTGTCTAGCATAGATAGCTAGTAAGTAATCGAGTCAGGATTCAATTTCAGTCAGCATAAATCCAAAGCCAAGATCTTATCATCCTTACTAAAACAGAAATTACCTAGAAATTTCTCCTTTCAATGTAAAAGCCTTCAACAGTAGGTACAAGGGCCTGCCTATATATGAGTATGTTCCTTGATACATAGTTTATATCAGAATTATGACTATATAGTTACAGTAAAGCAAGGAAGAGAGAATCAGAATGAAGTTGGCCCATAGGAATTATGTCTCTATGTTATTTCTTTACTTAGAAAATGAGAGAGAAAGAATATAAATCTGATAAGATGGTAGCAATTGAGGTACCTTACGTTGTTATCCTAAGTAAATTTTTTGTTTTCTTGTTTTTAAAACTGATTTGAATAAATGCCAGGGTAACTTCTTAGAGAGGGAAAAGACAGAGAGATCTGTCAACAGAGTTGATTAGAAAGCAGTCACACTAATCTTTCCTTTAAAATAAAATGCATGAGCCAGTGCATGCCTGTAATCCCATCACTTGGGAGGCTGAGGCAGGAGGATTGCTGTGAGTTTGAGACTAGCCTGGGCTACATAGTGAGTTCCCGGTCAGTCTCAACTACATAGTGAGACCTTGTCTCAAAAAAACAAGTATATGAGTGATATAGTGCTCAAGACAAAAGAGTTGAGCAGGACAATCTACAGTAGACGAGAGAGTGTCAAAGCCACAAAAATTCACAAATCCTGAGGCAGAAGGACCTCAGGCAAAGTAGAAGCCCATGCCGAAGTTATCTGATGAGTAAGGAAGAGGCCAAGAGCAGGTCAGTGATGCCCACCAAAGCCTATACCTGCCTTGGGTCCTTCCGTACATTCTTGGTGTCCATATTTCACAGATAACACTCCCAGCGCCATCCTCCCAGATGAAAGCATTTGGAAAAAAAAGTCTAACTAAGAGTGCTCTTATGAAAAAGACCCTTCAGAGATCGAACTAGGTATAGAGAAGACAGTTTTGAGGATATAAGAGAAAAGTGATCATGAAGGAAAAATAAATAGGGGTAAAGCATATGAGTTTCTCCTAGTTTCACTACTGTCAAAGCTATGAATAATTGAAATTTTTCCAAAATCTCTAAAAACTTTTCTCAAAGGCTGAATTACATTAATGTGGTCATAGAGGTAAGCAATTATTTTTTCAAGTAGTCTAGGTCATGACCTACTGTGGCTACTTAATACTCTATTAGTTTTTTCTATGTGGTGTTGGTTTTCCTCAGTTTCTCAAACAAGAAATGAAAGAAAGAGGGGAAAGTATGGGAAGAAAAGAGAAAAGGAAGGGAGAGAGGAATGAAGAGAAGAAGGAAGGAAGGAGGGAGGGAAGGAAGGAAGGAGGGAAGGGAAAGATTTTCAATATTTCAAGTTTCCTTCGACCTATCCACATAGTGAGATTTTGGGGTTTTTTTCTTGAACACATTTGTTTAGCAGAACACAAGTATTCTACTACTTCCATCCACTTCCGAACTACTAATGCTACTCTAATTTTGTTTCACTTTTTTTCTCTCAGAGATGCATATTTATTAGCATATATGAGTTGTTCAGTAGCATTTGCACCAAGTGCACAAGCAACTCTAATAAAAATATTAATATAATTAGCAGTGGGTGGAGTGAGTGTTAACTAGAATTGAGTTATTGTCAAATAAAGTTAATGTTTATTCTTTCACATCGGGAGCTGACCTGGAAAGCCAAGAACTATTGGATATTAAAATTTTTAGCAGAGTCAATTTCTAAAATGAAGAGAGAAATATATACTTCCTATTCCACATGACTTTAAGGATGACATTAGAAGGAAGGCCATATGCTAGGGATGGCATGTTTCTTGAGAAAATTCAATAGGTGTCCATTCCTAAAGTACAGCTTATTTTACTTAGTGACTCAGACTGATGGTTTAAGCATTGCACAAGGCCCTGAATGTGATGCATGCCACCCTTTGGATCCTGCAAGGGAGAGATAATCATAAAACAAAGTAAGTAAGTGCTCTGAAGCATTCTGTGCTTGGGAATAAAGCACACTAATTTCCAGGTAGTCAAAGGGGCCTTCATTTCAATGACAATCCTGAATGCCATTTCCCTTAGTTAAATCAAATAAAAGGTCAGATTCCAAATCAGAAGAATGAGTACAAAGCAAACAGAAAACTCTTTGTTCTCTATCAACCCAAGTAGGGATTATCAAATTTCTTTCCTTTATCTGGGGCTGGAGGTTAAACTATGCTTGAAATGTATCAAGGTCCTTGATGAATTGGATTCCCCTGTTGAATACTATTCAATGCAAATATTCTTAGGAGAAGTAAATAAGGCTTCCTTAAACCTTTATAACTTGGCATAAAGAAGCTTAGTAGATTATTTTGTAAGACAAGTTAAAGTTGAATTTGATTTGAAATTTGCAGAGCATTGGAAACTTGGTTTTGGCTAAGGAAACCACGGCTAACGCCTCGCAGTGTCTAGCTTACTGACTGAGACATTAGGGAGAAGTTATTGAAACTCTCAGGCAAAATTCTGCCACTCATGGGTTGGGAGGCACGTAAGTAAAACACTTTACCACAGTTTCGTTAAATATCCATATAAATCTGATACTGCAAGTTAGTATCATTAGAAAATTCACCCTTAAAATGTTATTTAAGCATATATTAATAATTGAAACTAAGAACCTGTCCTTCCAACAAAAAATATTTAAATAAACAAATGTTTAATTCTATGAGTCAATAGAGGGCACAAGCTGAAAAAGAAACTTAAAAACATATATATGAAAATATTTCTCTTAAATTTCACACTAAGAAGATTGCATTTATTCATTCCCAGGTGAGTGTGGCCTAGGGAGGCTCCTTTTTGAAGGATTTCATTGAAAGGAACACCAAGAATGATGTTGCCCTTGTTAATTCTTGAGCTCAAGATAGGAAATAAAAGAATTTAACTGCAACTGCTGATACTATTGAATAGAGTTAGTATTTATAGAAGTCATTGTAAGGTGCTTGTGGAGAAAAGAACAAATTGTTTTGAATAGTAACCACTGATGCTCTTGATAACAATGGAAATGAAGAGAGAATTTAATTTTTTTGGTTGGGACAAAGACTTTGTGTACGCATTGAAAATAAGGAGAATATATTGAGAAGCGTCATAAACTACAACACTGAACCTCAAACCACAACGAATTCCAAGGGAAAGAAACTGTGTGTGACTTCCTGTTAAATTTACCAGAGTAATTAAAGTGCAATTAAATATATGAATGTGTGATGAATTATATAAAAATCTGCAGAAACATTCTCATATCTGGAATGAGGGCACACCCAGGCAGCAGACTATATATACCCAGAAGCCTAGACCAGGGACACTGAGCCTTAAAGAGTCTTCTCAGTTACACTCAGCCGAGCTCACACCTCCTCTCAACATGACCTACAGCTGCTCCTCTGGAAACTTCTCCTCCCGCTCCTCGGGGGGCTACCTGCAGTACCCAGGCTCCTCCTGTGACTCTTCCTACCCCAGCAACCTGGTCTACACCACTCATCTCCAGTCTCCCACCACCTACCAGCTGGGCTCCTCTCTCTCCAGCGGCTGTCAGGACACCTGCTGTGAACCCACCATCTGCCAGAGGTCCTGTGTGGTGTCCAGGCCCTGCCCGACGTCCTGCTACCGCCCCAGGGTGCCCACACTCTGCAGTCCCTGCCTGACCACTTACTCTGGATCTCTGGGCTTTGGGTCCAGAAGCTGCCGCTCCCTGGTACCTATCCACATAGTGAGATTTTGGGGTTTTTTTCTTGAACACATTTGTTTAGCAGAACACAAGTATTCTACTACTTCCATCCACTTCCGAACTACTAATGCTACTCTAATTTTGTTTCACTTTTTTTCTCTCAGAGATGCATATTTATTAGCATATATGAGTTGTTCAGTAGCATTTGCACCAAGTGCACAAGCAACTCTAATAAAAATATTAATATAATTAGCAGTGGGTGGAGTGAGTGTTAACTAGAATTGAGTTATTGTCAAATAAAGTTAATGTTTATTCTTTCACATCGGGAGCTGACCTGGAAAGCCAAGAACTATTGGATATTAAAATTTTTAGCAGAGTCAATTTCTAAAATGAAGAGAGAAATATATACTTCCTATTCCACATGACTTTAAGGATGACATTAGAAGGAAGGCCATATGCTAGGGATGGCATGTTTCTTGAGAAAATTCAATAGGTGTCCATTCCTAAAGTACAGCTTATTTTACTTAGTGACTCAGACTGATGGTTTAAGCATTGCACAAGGCCCTGAATGTGATGCATGCCACCCTTTGGATCCTGCAAGGGAGAGATAATCATAAAACAAAGTAAGTAAGTGCTCTGAAGCATTCTGTGCTTGGGAATAAAGCACACTAATTTCCAGGTAGTCAAAGGGGCCTTCATTTCAATGACAATCCTGAATGCCATTTCCCTTAGTTAAATCAAATAAAAGGTCAGATTCCAAATCAGAAGAATGAGTACAAAGCAAACAGAAAACTCTTTGTTCTCTATCAACCCAAGTAGGGATTATCAAATTTCTTTCCTTTATCTGGGGCTGGAGGTTAAACTATGCTTGAAATGTATCAAGGTCCTTGATGAATTGGATTCCCCTGTTGAATACTATTCAATGCAAATATTCTTAGGAGAAGTAAATAAGGCTTCCTTAAACCTTTATAACTTGGCATAAAGAAGCTTAGTAGATTATTTTGTAAGACAAGTTAAAGTTGAATTTGATTTGAAATTTGCAGAGCATTGGAAACTTGGTTTTGGCTAAGGAAACCACGGCTAACGCCTCGCAGTGTCTAGCTTACTGACTGAGACATTAGGGAGAAGTTATTGAAACTCTCAGGCAAAATTCTGCCACTCATGGGTTGGGAGGCACGTAAGTAAAACACTTTACCACAGTTTCGTTAAATATCCATATAAATCTGATACTGCAAGTTAGTATCATTAGAAAATTCACCCTTAAAATGTTATTTAAGCATATATTAATAATTGAAACTAAGAACCTGTCCTTCCAACAAAAAATATTTAAATAAACAAATGTTTAATTCTATGAGTCAATAGAGGGCACAAGCTGAAAAAGAAACTTAAAAACATATATATGAAAATATTTCTCTTAAATTTCACACTAAGAAGATTGCATTTATTCATTCCCAGGTGAGTGTGGCCTAGGGAGGCTCCTTTTTGAAGGATTTCATTGAAAGGAACACCAAGAATGATGTTGCCCTTGTTAATTCTTGAGCTCAAGATAGGAAATAAAAGAATTTAACTGCAACTGCTGATACTATTGAATAGAGTTAGTATTTATAGAAGTCATTGTAAGGTGCTTGTGGAGAAAAGAACAAATTGTTTTGAATAGTAACCACTGATGCTCTTGATAACAATGGAAATGAAGAGAGAATTTAATTTTTTTGGTTGGGACAAAGACTTTGTGTACGCATTGAAAATAAGGAGAATATATTGAGAAGCGTCATAAACTACAACACTGAACCTCAAACCACAACGAATTCCAAGGGAAAGAAACTGTGTGTGACTTCCTGTTAAATTTACCAGAGTAATTAAAGTGCAATTAAATATATGAATGTGTGATGAATTATATAAAAATCTGCAGAAACATTCTCATATCTGGAATGAGGGCACACCCAGGCAGCAGACTATATATACCCAGAAGCCTAGACCAGGGACACTGAGCCTTAAAGAGTCTTCTCAGTTACACTCAGCCGAGCTCACACCTCCTCTCAACATGACCTACAGCTGCTCCTCTGGAAACTTCTCCTCCCGCTCCTCGGGGGGCTACCTGCAGTACCCAGGCTCCTCCTGTGACTCTTCCTACCCCAGCAACCTGGTCTACACCACTCATCTCCAGTCTCCCACCACCTACCAGCTGGGCTCCTCTCTCTCCAGTGGCTGTCAGGACACCTGCTGTGAACCCACCATCTGCCAGAGGTCCTGTGTGGTGTCCAGGCCCTGCCCGACGTCCTGCTACCGCCCCTGGGTGCCCACGCTCTGCAGTCCCTGCCTGACCACTTACTCTGGATCTCTGGGCTTTGGGTCCAGAAGCTGCCGCTCCCTGGGCTATGGTTCTAGGAGCTGCTACTCACTGGGCTGTGGCTCCAATGGCTTCAGACCCCTGGGTTATGGAGCCCGTGGCTTCTCCTCCTTTGGTTATGGATCTGGGTTCTGCGGCCCATTCTATTCAGTTTTTAGGAGCTGTCAGTCTCCCTGTTACAGACCAACCTGTGGATCAGGCTTCTAGATATTAACTTGCTGAATTCCAGAATTTTTGAACAACAGGTCTTAGAGTTTGCTTAAGGCTGCTATTGTAAGCATTTTCATCAACGTTTCCTCACCCTCTCTGTATCCTTTCTCTGGCATAAAGCACTGGTTGACAGACTAGTTCTTTCAAAGTCTGAAATTAATGAATAGAGTTAAATGACTGTAATTTTAAAAACAAGTGGTTAATGTATAAATTCTCTCTTATGAAATATATATTTGAACTAATAAACATGCTCTTCTTTGCATCCAATATGTTCTCATTTTTCTTTATTGATTTTCAAAGCTTGATTTCTGGTTTGCCTTTGGGGCTTCAGCTTCTATAAGTACCCTCCCTAGGAAAAGAGCAGCTATACTTGTTTATGGTGATGTTCTCTGGGCAGACCACTGCCTAAGGGAACAAGGGCATCTCTGCTGCCAGCACAGCTGATGGGCCTTAAAAGCATTCTATTTTTTTGTATTTTTTTGGATTGGGATCGAGCTCTGGTTGTTGTGCTTGTGAGGCAGGTGGCAGAACCGCTGAGCTAAACCCCCAGCCTTAACAGCATTCTTGAAAGCATTCCCATAATGAAGTCAACATTCTCGAGATGTTTTAAGGCAGAATATTTTATACTGACAATCATATTTGGTTTAGTGTTTACATTTATAAACAATATTGAATTACAGTTTTCCCAGAAGATGTCAAATAGGTGATGAGATATTTATAAAATATATTATATAAAATATTTGAATAAATCTAGTAAATTGGTATACAAAAGAAAACACAATGTAGCAGGCACAGGAGGGCACTTTAAATATATGGGGAAATGAGTTATTTTGCCAGAAAAAATTGAGAAAGAGGGGAAGAGAGACAGAAAGAAAAGAGAAGAGATCAGGATTGACTTAAAGATTAAAACTGAGCAATAAGAAGCTTCAGGCAGGCATATTTGGGGTTGTTACAAGAAATCTGTTGTATCTTCTCTCTGTATCCATGGAGGAGTAGTTCCAGGACTTCTGCATAGATACCAAATTCAATGGAAGCTCAAGTATCTTAAGTAAAATGTGCAGAATTGTGCATAATATAGGCATGTATCTTTACACACTTTAAATCATTTCTAATACTTAATACAATGTAAAGAATTGTTCCACTGAATTTCAGAGAATAATTATCATTCAAAGTCTGTATATTTACATACCCCACTCCTGGCTGAATCCATAGACACGGAGGGCTGACTATATTAAGGGTTATTCTGACATGGTTGCTTTTTTAGTTTGATTTCCTCAAAAATTAGAAAATTGTTTTAGTGACTTTTGCATTGAGTTTGTAGATTACATCACATTCAATGTTCTGAATCCCACAACCTCACTAGTCCTTGGGATCCACTGCTGAATTGTAAAAGTGAGACTAAAAATAAATCATTTCAGGATGCCCTGCAGATCTGAGCAGTATGTCCTCTATGGTCTTTTCAATCTGAGCACATTGTTTCAGAGAGTCAGTGTAGTATAAAATGTCGACCATGACATTTCTAGTCATGTTTTCACGACTGGGAGAATAGTTATCCAAGATCATCATTTGCCTCAGTCATGTTGCATGAATGAATACGAATTTGCCTTTCCTCATATGCTAAGATAGTAATGAGCTAAGTATAGAGATGTGGGAACTAGGTCCTGTGTGGGCAGTAACTTACTTAGAGATATAACAAGGAAAAATAGAAGATAGCAACAAAGACGGAAACTCCTGGTGATTCAGGAGCATCTGTATTCCATCATGCCTAAAATTCTGCTTTAGTTATCCTTGATATATGTTGAATATGTTGGCCAATAAACCCTTCTTTTGGCTTAAAATAATTAAAAGAAAATTTCTGTCACTCCCCACCAAAGAGTTATTGTTAATAAAAGTGTGTCATCATGGTGCAGAGTTACTCATTCACTGATTATAGTACAAACAGGCAATTAAAACATTTATAAGTAAGACAAAAGTCTCCCTTGAAGTCTGATCTATTGGCAAAAGCAGTGATGGGGGACTATTAATTATAAAAATAGGGGGGGAATGAGGAAAATGTGGTGAAGGAACCATTTGAGAAATAGGACTTAAAGGGGTCACAGTAGCATAGCCAGTGAGAATGTCCTGGAAACCAGAATCTTCTAACATTAATCGTGGAGGCACCAGACCCTACCAGAGTTGACATACTCGTGACTTTGTTGGAGATCACCATGAGTACAAAAGACAAACAAATTTTGGGGCCTTAACCCATTAAAAGAATGATTAAATCATTAAAGAATTAAATGATTCATTAAATCATTAAAAGAATAATTTTGTATTTTATTCTAAGGCAATCAAGGATGTAGAAGTGGTTTTATCTAAAATCCATGAGCCAGGGATTTAGCTCAGCAGTTAGGTGGCCTGCTTTGCAAGTGCAAGGACCAGAGTTCATCCCCGGTACCCAAAAAATAAAATAAAATAAAATAAAATAAAATAAAATAAAATCCATGGCTCTTCACTTGAGCCTACAGATGCTCAAAAGGCAATTAAGAACACATCAAAGCTATACGTTCATTTCTATATCTAGTAATACCTTAAAACTCTAAATACAAGTATGTTTCTCTTTTCTTAAGGTTAACAAAGTTAGATTTACTATCTCTAAATTTATCTAGTCCATTTCATCTCCTTTTAAAACTAAGGACACACAGATAAGAATAACTAATGTAATTTTCAATTTGCCAAAACATGAGATTACCAACTGTTATTATTATAGATAGGTAAGTTAATTAGATATATTATAGGCAGTTAGTCAGGGCAGAGAGTCAACATGGAGGGCAGTCAAGACACATTCACTGAAGAAAAGAAACTACTATACTCTCCTGCTTCCCCTAGGGATGCATAGTAGTGATTGACTGATGTTCTACACAGGTATCAATTACCAGGTGAGGGACCAGGATCTTCCAGGAAAGATCCCTGACCCACTCCTTACAAAAAATCTTCTCCTTCCTTGTACACTTGCTATATGACTTCCTTGTCTATATGATCCCTGTTTAATCAATATTCTATACTTGTTGGAATCTTATTGGTTGATCCTAGTTTTGTCCCATCTTGTGATTTCCAATTGGGTCAATATTACCTAAATGACCGTACTTGTGATCTTACTACTTGATTATAGTTTTGTCCCACCTTGAACCCACCTCACCTTGTGGCTTTGATTCATAAAACCCTCCTGGGAAACAGGGTCCCAGAAAGAAACCTACTTTCTGAGTGTCCCCTCCTGTCCCTCTGAGGCAGGAGCTCTTTCTCCCTCAGTAGATTTTCCTACTCATAGCCTCCATTTTTCCTAGAACTCATTTTTCAATTTTAGAGAACACAAACTCACACTTCAGATATCTAGTAGGTTTAGAATTTACATCTATCCCCCTATGTCATCATGACTTGTGTTTAGATGTCCCCTCAAAGCCTCATGGTTTTCCAGAGGTGGTTAAATCTGGAGTGTGTGATGCTGGCATCAGGGCGTGTGATTATTAAACCACTGCATGCGAATGATTGGTTTGGTACCAAATCCCAAAGTCTGGATGTGATAAAAGGGGTAGACTCTGTCAGGGTTCCTTGCTGCTTCTGCTGTCTCCCACTGCCATCAACTGTAGCCCCTCTGCCATGCTGCCTTGGAGCTGGCATATTATGGACTGAAATCTCTAGGAATAGGAATCGTAAGCCAAATAAACCTTTACCCTTTTAACTTTGGGTGTAGGGTATTTTGTCTCAGAAATAAGAGGGAAGTAACTAACACACCGATTTTTGTACATCCCATTTCAGGTCCCTCCTTGCAGTGGTGCTTGGCAGTCTCCAGCCATTGTCCCAAAACTGTGATCCCCTGGATTCCAGGAAAAGCAGATCCTCAGATGACTGAGCCTGCTCCAAGCAGGTACAATGATTTCATATAGAAGGAATCTCCCCTTAAAACTCAGCTAATCCCTAAATCCTGGCCTCTCCTTTTGTAAGTGAGCCAGATGGACCTGCTGGTTCAGAATGTACCACTCTAGCTTCTCTAACTGGAGTCCATTTCCCATTTTCTCTTTTGTTAAGGGCTAGCGTACTTTTTGTCATATCACCAGGCTAGAGTCCCTTACCATTTTCTCTTACTTTACAATAAAAGCTTTTTTTCCCCCTGCAAATGTATGCTTTTAATTAATTTCCACTATCACTGAAAAAAAGAGACTCATGCTAGCCAGAGACAGAGTGACTAGCAGAGAAACATTTAAATCCATCTGTGTGCTCGGCCTCCTCTGCCTCGGGCTCGGGGACTGGGTGCAGTGGCTGTTCCCTGGGGCCCCTCAAGGGAGAGCACTGTCCCAGAGCATCCTTATCACTGATGCTTACGGATCTGAACCTCTCTAAGCACTCTTTACCAAATATTTACAAGAACCTCCACGGAGGTATTTCAGTCTCAGGCTCGTATTTCAAAAGGACATAAATTATTTTAAAATGAAATAAAAAATACATGCCTATTAATCCATCTACTTCTGAAATGACTTAGAGAATTTTCCTCATTGTAATGGAAAGGATGAAGGAGCCCAAAAATTTGAAAGTAAGAGGCAAGGATCCAAAAAGAAAGTTATACACTAGTATGTTTTCAATATTTAGACCTTTTGAAGTGTAATGTGAAGATTCAGATCTTGGGCATCAGTCAACAGTATGACAAGTATGTCGCATCTTCTATTCTCCGTGCAGCAATCATTCCTTAGTATTACAGGTCTGCTGATCGACACTGGTTTTTCCTAGCTTCTCTCCTCTCTTTGATCCCGCTCTGATTCTTTACCTGTGTGCTAAACATTGCAGTGAATGTCTAGATTTTTGAAAACATTTACAGCAAAAGACACACTGCCATGAATTTCCCTTAAAACATCCACCCCCTTGATTCAAACGCCCTTAGAATTCTTGACACTTTCTGAAGCAGTTCTCTAAGTCCTCTCTCACGAGTATCTTTAGTTGCACTTCTGTGACTACCTCCATGGCAC